GTATAGTAATCCCATATGAACGTGGTATCTACCCCTTTGCATGCACGATTGACCCTCCCCTTTTTACTAATAGCCCCAATAGTTATTGCAAATTATTACAACCCAGAATGAATAAGAAAAGCAAAATTACATCAGAAATTAAAGTACAACCATGGGGAGCCTAATTCAGACCCCAGGTTTGAAATATGAAATGAACCAACTCCAAAGATCAGGATCCAAAGCCTTTCTCATATTTGGATGTGTCAGAGTTTCCTAAGAGCCTCAAATGGACTCCGGGCAGTGCTCACACCCAAACTCATACATGATTAAGAACATAGTGCAGTGTAGAAGGGCCAGCCCTCAAGTATCCATGTTCAGAGGGAACTCAAGGCCCCAAGGCAAGGCTTACATGAGGGGGGTAGAGCTTAGAATATAAGAGTAAGTGTAAGTGCAGAGTTTGAAAAGGGGAAAGGGAAGTGGTAGAGAAACAGGTTCAGGCTAGTGGGCATACCTAGCAATGGAAAGTGTTGGCACACCCCAAAAGCCTGTTAGAACACATTGTTTTGGGAGTCAGGATCCTCTAAGGGATCAAGTCCAGACATGAACAATAACTTGCATATTGTCATGTCATGAACTACAACTCAAATCACATAGAGGGGAATAGGGGTACAGGGATTCATAGTAGAAATAAGTAAAAGAAATTAACATGCTAATTAAACATTCAACTCTATATAGATAGTAAAGTGGACATGGATGTAAAGGCTATAAGTGAACACATTGGGATGATGCTGAAGCTAAAACTAGAACATACCAGTCTCAAAGAAACAAGTGAAAGAAAGCAGTAGTCTTGTAAAGCCAAAGTGCAAACAAGCAGTCAGAATGCTATGATCTTAGAAGAGAATCGTGAGAATGTAAGGGTGAAGTATGAAGTGTAAAAGTGTTGAACTGAAAGTGGGTTAAAGTGCAAAAGGGTCCTGCCCTTTTATAGTGTAGAAAGCAAGCAGAAATAGGTAAGAAAATAGTTTGAAAATCAATTACACAAGGTTTCCCCCTAATTAAGGGATTCTGATTTCAAACGGGCAAAACTAATTAAGGAAAGGGATTCATCAAATACCTTTTCAAATCAGCATAAAAGAGGTAAATACATAAAGGTCTATTTAAGGACAGGGTCTTGACAGCACATGGTTTGTGCAAATAAGGAAAGGAAATTAGTTAACAGCCAAAAAAATCAAAAATTGAAGATTTTGTATGAATGAACCAAGTCATAAAGATGGGAAAGATTTCAACTTAAGGAAAATCAGTACCAGTCAATTAGACTTATTAAAAGGAATTCTGAATCAATCACAAGTTGGAAAACCATTCTGAAGAAAGATTCCTCATATATAAAAGCATACAGACACGTTAAACATGAAGAAATTTGTCAAGCTATTCAGAAGAGTCTAGTGTAGGAGAATTAGAATTGTGTGCAAACAAAAGAAGTTCACACTTAGTTCATAGATTTAGAAATTAGTCTAAAAGAGTCAAGGGTTCTCAAGCAGAACCCTAGTTCGATCATATGCCCAAACTCGGAGGAACCCCCCCAAATTCTAGGGTTTCCGGCTCGAGTCAAATACAGAGATGAGGAGGCAACAGGCTCAGAGATTTCTTTTCAGAATCTCATGAGAAAACAAGCAAATACAATAGAAAATTCAAAGCAAACAGAGTGAAGGAACTAACTTCAAAGCACAAATGAGAGAACATCATGGTAGTAGAAGAAACATGTTTAAGAAAAACCTTTTAGAAGGGACTTAAACAGGGTTCAGTAGAAGAGAAAACAAAGAACTTAAAAACATAGTAGAAAATACAGTAGAGGAACACAAGGATATTGGAAAAGCATAGAAAAAGAACACATAGGGAAACATAGCAAGATAAACATGCGAGAGCATGGTGTAGAAACACAGTAGACAAATGAAACATAAAAAGCACAGAAGAACATGTATAGTAGTAGGAAAGTATAAGAAAACGGTAGAAGCACATGCGTGGTAAAAGGACAGAAACATATGAGCACAGTGGAGACAAATACACACAAAGAAAGAAAAAGAAAAGTCGGAGAAATGTTTTAAACCTTTCAGAAAACCCTAAATCGAAGAGAAATGGTTTTAAAAAGATAATTTTTTGAAAGAAAAATTGGGGAAACCGTTTAAAAAACCCAAGTAGAGCACAGATACGTGACAAATCTAAGAAAAAATCGGAGAGAACCTTGAGTAGCCAGGGTTTCAGAAGAACCCTAGAATGAGAAAAGCTTGGAAAATGTCCGATCTGAGTCGGATAGGTTAGAACCAGGCTCAAAACACCATTGTGTGCCGGAGTTGGGCCGGAGATGGCCACAGAACCTTAAATCGGCGAAGATCTGAACGGACACCTTCGAGGTCATACCTCGAACCTTCGAATACCAAGTGTTTAAGAGTAGAGGGAGATGCGTTTAAGCCCTCCATGGCCTGAGAGGCCATGGATTCCGGTGAGATTGAGGTTGAAGATGGTGAGAGAGGCTAGGGTTTCGAGAGAGTTTGAGAGGAGAAGGATTCCAGAGGCAGCTGTTTGAGTGGAATGAGCTAGGGTTAGGGGTGTGGATGAATTAAAAAGGAAAGGAATGATCGTGGCCGTTGATCAAAATGATCAACGGCCTGAATTAAAATATAAGGTCGGGCGGGTTGGATTAAAATTGGGTTGGCCCGTTAGGGGTTTGAAATTGGGTCAATTAGGGGGATCAATTTGGGCTATAATTGAAATAAAATGGGGCCAGATTTTAAATAGCCAGTTTTTTCCTTTTTATTTTATGAAAATAGTAAAACTACTTCTGAAAATAAATTAAAGGTACTGAGTCAATTAATAATATATAAATATTAAATTAAAAATACTGGAATCAAATTTGTAATTATAAACACAATTAAATCTTAAAATAGGCTAAAATTGCAATTATATGCAATTTAACTTTAAAATGCTAAACAAATTTGTAAAAATATGCAAAAATTATGCCAGCTATATTTTAATATAAATATGAGAATCCAATAAGTGAATCACCCAAAATAATAATTTTGGGGATAATTATTAGGTTTTTCTTGATAAAATAGGGCAATAAATAGATTTAAAAATCTATATAAAAATTAAGAGAAAAATAGTAAAACCTTGGAACATGCTTATATATGCATATACCTGCTATTTTGAAAGTATTTTGCATATAAAAATATACAGGAAAAAATTGGGTATCAACACAGGTCAATGTTAGAGGATTCTTAATACCAACTTTAACCAATTTCAATAATAGGAACAATTAAGCTAAATAGAAACAAAAACTGCGTTGCGTAATAACATTAACCCATAACTTTTGATACATTTAGGATCTGGAGTCACAACTCACGAGCTACTAAGATTTACTACAAACAGAGTCTGAAAGGAATTACAATATTCTAAAGGAAAAGAAACAATAAAATAGTAAGACTAGGGAGAGACTCCAGGGTCTGCGGATGCCAGCAGATCTACCTTGGGTCTCATGTCAATCAATCCAGCAGCTAACGTCACGATCAACTCGGGCCAGTATCAAAATCTGCACAATTAGTGCAGAGTACAGTATCAGCACAACCGATCCCATGTGCTGGTAAGTGTCGAGCCTAACCTCGACGAAGTAGTGACGAGGCTATGACAAGACACCTACATAATAACCCGTGCAATTTAACAGTATATGTACAAAGTAACAACGAATAGATGCTAGACAAGTAATATTGGGAGGGGGACATGCTGAGGGAAAATACGAGATAAAAAAACACAACAGTAATGACATTTGGACAGTCAATATACCTTGAACCAATAAGAACAAGTAAACACAGTAAAGGAAAATGCACGGCATTACCCTTCGTGCTTTTACTCTCAAGCTCACCATATGAATCAATAGAAACGACACAGTATCACCCTTCGTGCATTAACACTCTCCCTTACTATAAAGCAATGAACAAATGACAACAGGGAGATAGAAATAACAAGAACAAGTCTTACTTCACCATTTGGTTCCACGATACCAACGTCAACTTTGAAATCAATACTCAATTATCACCAAAAGATCCGTAAACATGATAAGAATGATCAATTTAATAATACTAGTCTAAACGTGGATAACATGATGAAAGAAAGCAATAATTACAAGAAACCAAGTCCCACCCACATGCTTTAACCTGACAACAACGCATAGGTACTCATCACCTCACCTATACATTGTACCCAACATCTAAACACGTAGCAAATAGACAAATAAGTCTTAATCCCTTAAGTTAAGGTTAACCACGACGCTTACCTTGCTCCAACAACCAAATTCAAAGCTCAATCACGACTTTTCCTTTCACACAAGCCTCCAACCAATAGAATCTAGAAAATTACCAACCAAACGATTTAAATTAAGCCTTAGGAACTACCCACGATTGCAAAAAATTCAATTTGGGTCATTATTGAAAAAGTCAACAAAATTCAACATCCGGGCCCGCTTGGTCCAAACCCAAAATTTAGGTCAAAACCCGATTATCTGTTCACCCCCGAGCCCGGTTATGTAATTTGTTTTGGAATCTCACCTCAATTTGAGGTTAAAATCCCCAATTTACCAAATCCCTAATTTCTATCCAAAAACCCCCAATTCCACCATGAAAACTCTAGATTTTAGGTTGAAAACTTGTGAAATACAGTGAAAGATTGAAAGGAAATAGGTTAGAATCACTTACCAACGATTTGGGGAAAAAGGAGTCTTGGAAAAATCGCCTCTAAGGTTTTAGGTTTTGAAAATTTGAAGAATGAACAAAAAATCCCGTCTAATACATATTTTGTTCAGCTGCAGATGTCACATTTGCGATTTGGGCTTTGCAAATGTGAAGCACGCAAATGTGAGAAATCCATCGCATTTGCGAAGACTCCCACACCTCTGCGATCATTGCATTTGCGATGAAAAGTTTGCAAATGCGAACACTGACTTGACTGCAAATACGACCGAATGATTGCAAATGCTAAGAATCCCCCTCCCCAGCTCCCATCGCAAATGCGAAGCTTTGCTCGCAAATGCGGACACTAGCCTTCCGCAAATGTGACCTCGTGATCGCAAATGCAAACCTAGGCTGACCCAGGCACTCTTTGCAAATGCGAAGAAATTGCTCGCAAATGCGAGCCTGATAGAAGTTGGAAATGTTGGCAAATGCGAACTCTTGCGAGATCAGAGGCTAGTTCCCAGAAATTGCAGACACCAGCAAATGTGCTAAGTCTAATTCACTCCGTAGCCCATCTGTAACTCACTCGAGCCCCCAGGGCTCTAAACCAACTATGCACACAAGTTTAAAAATATCACACAAACTTGTTCGCACGATCAAATCGCCAAAATAACACCTAAAACTACGAATTGAACACCAAATCAAATGAATTTTTCAAGAAAACTTCAAAACTTCTATTTTTACAATCAAGCGTCCGAATTACGTCAAACTAACTCCATTTCTCACCAAATTTCACAGACAAGTCATAAATATGGTATTGGACCTATACCAAGTTCCGGAACCAAAATACGGACCCGATATCCAAAAAGTCAAATATTGTAGCCTTTAACTGTCAAATTTCGACGAAATCCGATATCTCAGGCTAGGGACTTCCGAATTTGATTTCGGGTATATGCCCAAGTCTAAATTCACGATATGGACCCATCAGGATCATCAAAATACGAATCTGGGTTCGTTTACTTAAAATATTGACTAAAGTCAACTCAAATAATCTTTTTAGGCAAACTTCTTATTTCCATCAGTTTTTAACATAAAAGTTTTCCGGAAATACGCCCGGACTGCACATGCAAATCGAGGAGTGATAAATGAGGTGTTTAAAGCTTAAAAGCGCAGAATTGAATTCTAAAACATAAGATAAACTTTCGGGTAATCATAGATACAGTTCTTGATATATTGGATTCTTCTAAATCTCTATGATATCCAGTAAAGTAAAATAATAAGTAATTCTAAGTTTGATATATTTCATCCTTTCTTTGGATTATTTCTACAAGTTTTCTTGTTGTGACCTTCTTCTCCATACTGTCCACATGAAATCGACCTTTTTCATTCCTTTTCAGATACTGGCTTGCACCTCCCCTTCCTTGGCCTTCCTATTGATTTAGTCACATCTGGTAGCAAGACTTTTTCATCTAGAACTTCTGCAGGAATTTTTCATGTGCTTTTATCAAGAACCGGATAAATTGGAATTTCATAGGTCTTCAATAGGTACCTCCTTGTGTAGTACACCGAGCAATACTCAATGTGATTAATGTATTTGTATTTTAATACTACCCAAGCATGTGCACATGGAAGCTCATCCAATTAAATCCTTCTATAGCTACAAGTTCGATCTTTTAGGAACATCATTCTCTACTTACCCTTGTCAAGTACTGAATATAAGTAACTCGTCGAAGGGGTCACCTACAAAATTTATCAACTATCATTAGTGGTGACAAAGCAGATGCCCTCAAAAATACATATACTAGAGAGCCTACAAGATTCAAAATAGCTTAATATCATGTTAAACCAACCAATATTTCAGCAGTGGGGTAGGCATAGATGCTACATTAAATTGAAAGCCTTTGCTTTTGTGCAGGTGGACACTAGTTTAACAGAATCAAACAAAGGGTTCAAGATATAACATATCCGTGAATTCGGCATGATTACATATTATATGCACAAGTATCTACAGATTCTAGTCATACCTTCATCCGATGTGACAATTCGAGATTGTCCATCAGCATTGTGTCATATATTTTTTCCAAGATCAGTAAATGACTCTATTGCATTCTTTTGGTTTGTAACATTCTATTGTCCAATCAATTGCCTTATGTACTCCAGCAAAGGCTAGGATTTCCCTAGCAGCCTTGAGCGTTGCATTGATCGACTGCGCAATGTTTGAAGTCATTGTCAATGTTCTGTTGACAGTGGAATATGTTGTGGACCATCTTTCACACCCAATGTTCATTAAGTAATCTTTGATCCTCTTATCATTTTTCTCTACCTCTGGCATGTGTTAATCAAACTTCTCAACTGTGCATGCTTTGGCAATAGTAAAGAATATGTCTTTGAGCTGCAAATGGTTCTTCTTGTAAAAGTTTTTTACATTATTCCATAGATGTCATATGCAGACACAGTGAGGTACTTGTAGATACAATATTGCCGCTGCATTTTTAATGCCTTCATGCCTGTTAGAGACTATTCACATTCCCTCCCTTTCCCCAAATGCATCTTTGAACCTCGCAAAAAATCACTCCCAGGAAGCATTATTCTCTGAATCTACTATGGCATATGCGAGTGGTAGGATACTACCTAATAAATTGAATCATATAAACATATGTGAGTATATATATATTATTCTTATTTTTACTTGCTGGATCTTATGTGGATGCTATCAATAATGTTCCTCTATATGTCTGTAAGCACGTGATTTTTGCCCAATATGAGAATTACTCCCAAAAAATTCAAAAATAAAA